GGGGGGGGGGCACAGCTGTCTATTTATAATATAGTAATGCATGTCTGTGCTGAATGCTAACCCCGTGAGGAAGTGATCTAGACTGGAGGGGAGTGGGCATAGCCGGGTGGGATAGAGGGTGTGGCTCGGCGCTGGGCACAGCACCTGTCGATGGAAGGCCGCCAACAGCAGCCAGCCTCACGCACCCAGCTCGCCGGCTCCCATTCCTGCTGATCGCAGTGGGGGGGGGGTGCGTGGAGAGCTGGGGACGGACCAAAACACTCTCACACACAGAGATCAGGCACCAGAAGATGCTCCCAGGAGTGAAAGATGTGCTGAGTGTGACTTTAAAAAGTTGCCCATGAAGAGTTTCCTGGAGCAGAATCAGTCCTGAGTGTGCCCTACCCACCAAGTCTGAATTTCAGATCCCCCCTCCCCCCCAGGCATGTGCACTGTGTCACCCCCTTCGGATGAAAGCTCTGTGGACCCCCTCGCCCCCTCCGCTGGCCTATTTGAAGGATCTTTTTCATATTTGCCGACAGTCGTTGGCAAATTGGCCCTCACGCTCACCCCAGGAAATGAGGTCAACCAGAGACATGTTTGGCACAAACGTCGGACCATTACAGTCATGGGCCCAGACGACCCAGACCCTGGGCATCAAAGAACCTCTAAAGCCACCAACGTAAGCCAGTTCCCCAACAACTAAAACGAGGAATGTTGTTTTGCTGTTTGACTAATTGTAAGTCAGAGTATTTCACAATTCAGGACAAATTTCTTCTGCTAAGAGGGGCAACTCTCCAAAAAATGACAAGCCGTGCCTTTGTGAAACCAGGCCAGCTCCTTACTCCCGACGTTCCTTCTGCCCCTGGCAAAAGAAGGCGACACATATCTCAAAGCTCCTGTACCAGCACAAGGCCAGCCCGTTTGACAGCCTGACCGCTATCTCTATGGTGTCCATGCTGAACTGAACTGACGTCCGAGGGTGAAGTGTAAATACAAACATCACACATTTACAGACAGGAACAAGCAGGTCAAAAAGGTGCAGCATGATGGTGACCGGGAGCAACAAGCTATACGTGGGTCAGAAGTTACCAGTCTGCAATCAAAATGTCAATTTCCATATTATCACGAGGAGCCTTAAAATGCTACTGCTTTAAGCAGAATTATACCACAACACAGATTTATATTGTGTTTGGAAAAGCGATACGGAGCACAGAAAATTGAGATGAATCATCAGTGGTAAGATATTACTGCCACAAACTATATTTCTTAGATTTAATGAAAGGGCATAACTGCTCTTGTATTGATCATTTGAATAGAGACGACCTTGTCAAAATGAAGGAAATAAGTACTTAATTAATGACTGAGAGGATCAGAACCATAACAAAAGGACAAAATAATGGCAGTTACTTATGAAAGTCTAAGTGAAGTGGAAAAGACAATAAACACAGATGAAATTTGTGAAAGTAAAACGACAGATTACTGGGTATATACAAAATAAACAAGATCTATAAACAGACAGATGAAATTCTTTCGATGAAATTCACCCTGAACACAAACATTTCTGAAGTTTAACAATGAGAAACAGAATCAATTGCATACTCATTGTATGAGTCTGTGATTTTACGGCATGGGGTTACAGGGGGCAATCGGCTGATAACACCCCCCCAGCGTGGATGACAGCTCATTGGTCCTTAAATACTGTGCGAAATTCCCCAGCTACGCTTCCCATCTGAGCCTGGGGGGTTTACCCAGAGTCTCACCCGACTCTCTCCCTCATTACCTCACTTCAAAAGACTATTCACGCTAATTAACATTACACAGACTTCTGTGAAATACATGCATGCTTTCTAATTGAATCAAATTAAAAAATTATGCAGCCATGCCCTTTCTTTCACCGCGCACACATGCATTTCTGAAAGGCAGAAATCCCAGACTTCATCGGCCCACTGATATTAAATAATAAATACATTTAATGTAACATATGTAGCTTTCAGCAAATCCACAATTTTAATAATTTGCTTAAGCTGCTTGGAAAAGCAGGTCATGCTGACGCTGTATGCACCCCCCCATTGGGAGCTGATGCGTCAAACACCAAAGCCGTGATACTCGCATGGAAACAGGCTGCATAAAGCCGCACATCTACAACGCAATGAGGAAAAGTAGGTCAGAAGCCATCTGAGGGAAATCAGAGCAGACAGGTGAAATCATAACAGAAAGGTGAAATCAGAACAGACAGGTGAAATCAGGGCAGACAGGTGGAATCAGAACAGAAAGGTGAAATCAGAACAGACAGGTGAAATCAGGGCAGACAGGTGAAATCATAACAGAAAGGTGAAATCAGAACAGACAGGTGGAATCAGAACAGAAAGCTGAGATATGAACAGAAAACAGAAACCAGGGAAGACGGGTGAAATCAGAGCAGACAAGTGAAATCAGAACAGATGAAATCAGGATGGACAGATGAAATCAGAAGACAGGTGAAATCAGAACTGACAGAAGAAATCAAGATATAAAGGTGAATTCAGAACAGGCAGGTGAAATCAGAACAGAAAACTGAAATTTGGACAGAAGGAATAAGGACATACTGATGAAATCAGAAGAGGCATTTAAAATCAAGACAGAAAGGAGAAATTTGCGCAGATAAAATCAGCACAGACAGAGGAAATCAGGACAGACAGATGAAACCGGAAGAGTCAGGTGAAAACAAGACAGAAAGGTAAAATCTGGACAGAATAAATCAGGACAGACAGCTGGAATCAGAACAGACAGGTGATAGGACTCCAGAGAAAACATGGCTAAATTATTTCAGAATAAAATGCGCAAAGCTCAGAGACACAGGTTCTGCCTTAAACCACCCATGCCTATTAGACTTAACAGCATTTCTGTTTTTCTATTACACCATGGAATAAAACATAAAAATAACACTTTTCTGCAGACTGTAGTTTGCCCGTTGGATTTTGGTGCTTTTCGCATTAATAAACATCCTGAAACAGCGTGTGGAGATGTTTCCTGCTGGTGTATTTGTACTTATATTCCTGTGATTTTGAACATCACCTCCTGCGTATCAGGCCACCCATCTCTAATCCAATCTCTGGGGGTTACTGGATCTCTGTTGGGGGTGAGGGGGCTGGGCTCCCAAACGTGCCCGATGGCCAGACTAACAGACACATTGCAGCAAACCCCATGCCTGCTAACAGTGAATAAAAGCCTAAATGAACCATTTTAGAATCAGTGTCACTGCTGGCCAGAACATTTATAGATGTGTCACGTGCTTCCGGATGCTTCCACGACCTCAGCGTTTCACTGTGGGCTCCCATATCGCTTCT